CCCCCGCTGCAGCATGCCGGGGAGGAGCTCCGGAGCCTGCAGAAGAAGCTCTCCAGCCCCATGGGGGAGATGGAGGCCATCTGCAAGGAGGTCCTGGCGCGAGCCAAGCGGTGAGCAGCGGCGCTCCCGGGGTGGGCCGGAGGGGTCTGCACGCAGCAGGGGCCGCATCCTGGGAGAGGCAGGCTCCGCCCCCCTTGCCCCCCCAAGCTTCAAAGTCCTGGCCCGTAGCTAACATGGGGCCCACGGGGCCCGGCCCCCTAGTGTTTCTTCTAGGCCCCCTCCCTCCTGGGCTGCCCCCAAACTTACCACCTGCACTGTACTTACATTTAATTAGCTGGTAGGCCCCCAGAGGCCCCCTCCCAAAGAATTCCCTAGCTACGGGGCTGCCTCCAACGCGCCTCCCTCCTCTCCTCCCCCTGCAGGAAGGTTGGTCTCCCCACCGGCCTCTCCCTGCAGGGCGCCGTGCACCCGGACCTGGACGACTGCGCTGCCCTGGTGAGGCGAGGCGAGGCGAGGCGAGGCGAGGAGGCGCGGGGCGGGCGGGGCCTCGGGGCAGCAGCAGGACTGGGACGGGGTTGGCACCTGCTGGCGGCGGCGGCGGCGGCTCCTGCTGCTGAGACGGGCAGAGCTCTTCCGTCGGGAGAAGAAGGGGCTGTACACGGGGCTGCTGGGGGGGGGTCGGGAGCCTGCCTCTGGGGCTGGTCTGCCCTGGGAGAGACAAGCCCCCTCCCCCCTCCCTCCGCTCTTTCTCCCTCCAGGTCACCAGGGCCGTCGACCTCTTTGGGGAAGCTGTGGAGAGCCTGCTCCTGACCCACGGCCCGGCGGTGGCAGGTAGTCCGTCCTGGGAGGAGAGGCACGTGGGCGCGCGGAGGGGAGGGGGGTGTTCCCTCCTCCTTGGGTGGGGAACTTCCTGCGGGGTCTCACGCACCACAACCCCAGGGGTGTTTCCTCTGGGAAGGGCAGGATGCGCAACCTCTGGCTGGCACACCACCCGAGGCAGAAGGGCGCCCACCCCCCACCTGGTGGCACGAGGGGTCGCTCTCCATGTCAAGAGTGTGGGTGGGTGGTGGGCAATGCTCCTTCTAAGCTGTGGAGTCTTGTGAGCAGAAATCCTACTTTGTGAGCTACTGCCATTGGAGTTGTGAGCGAGCGATTTGGCTGCTGCATCAATTAGTTTGCTCTGGAGCCCCATCCTTCCTGAGCCAGAGGCTAAAAAACTGTGAGCTGGCTCACACTCACTCAGCTTACAGGGAACACGGGTGGTGGGTGGTGGTGCTGTCCTGCCCCCACACACGCGGCTTGTCCACGAAGGCCTCTGTCGCTTTCAGCCCCCCCCCCCCAGACTGGGATGTCCGAGTGGCCCAGGATCAAGCAGAGCCAAGCGGCCCTCGCCGGGCTGGTCGTTGGCTCCACTTGGACTCGGCCAGCAGCGATGCCTGTGGACATTGCCCACCGCACCACTGGCAACCGTGGCCATCCAGGGCAAGGGTGCGCCAAGGGGCCGTCCCACCCCGACTCCTGTCCTCCTGCTGGTGAGATCTGCCCACTCCCACCCCCAGCTGGTGCCACCTGGTGCCACCGTGTCAGAGGTCCCAGCCTGCTGAGTGAGCGTGTGTGTGCGCGTGAAAACGCAGCCTCTGTCAAGCCAGGGGATCTGGATCCTGCCTTCCCCGGGGGGGGGGAATGGGCTTTGGAGGGCAGGGAATGCCCACAGCTCCTCCTCGTGCTGCCCAGGGGAGAGGGAGCGGGTCCGGAGGGTCACCCCACGGTGGTTCCACGCAGGGCCTCAGTGCCCGTCGCTGGCATGCAGAGACCAGGCAACACAGGGTTGGGTAATTCTGCTTGCAGCGGACAGAGTGCGCACCGCACAAGACCCACGCACTCACCTGCCCCCTTCTCCCCACCCCACCCCGTGTCTCTTCTTCCTCCTTCTCCCCACCCCCACCCCGTGTCTCTTCTTCCTCCCCACAGACAAGCAGTTCCTTCTGAAGCGGGTGGCAGATGCTGCCATCGACTCCTACACCATGGCGGTGGTCTTGTCCCGGTGAGAAGGGGGGTGGGGTAGCAACATTAGAAGAGCCTGGCTGGGTCACACCAGGAGCCCCCCCCCTCGGTCAGCACAGAGTGGCCGGCCGGTTCCCGGGAGGGCCCACGGAGGACGGAAGAAGCCGAGGTCCTCCTCCTCCTCCTTGAAGCGGTCCCGGTACGCTATAGGCAGCCAGTGCAACGTCTTTAATACAGGTTGGATGTGCTCCCGAATCGGGATTCCCATCAACAACCTGGCCATGGCGTTTTGCACCAGCTGCAGCTTCCAGATCTGCGACAAGGGCAGCCCCATGCAGAGAGCATTGCAGTAATCCAATCTCGAGGTGACCATTGCGTGGGTCACTGTTGCCAGGTCATTGTGTTCAAGGAAGGGGAACCAACTGCCTGATCAGCCAAAGGCAGTAGCTGCTACCTGGGTCTCCATTGTTAAGGAGGCATCCAGGAGCACTCCCAGACTCCTAACCTCCGGCGCTGGCACGAGTGGCGCCCCGTCGAAGGTTGGGAGCGGGATCCCTACCCTTGGACCACTCCGACTCAGGGACAGGACCTCCGTCTTCGTCGGATTCAATTTCATCTGGCTCACCCTAAGCCAGCCAGCCACGGCTTGTAGCGCTGGGCCTAGATCTTCCATCCAGCAACAGATAGAGCTGGGTGTCATCCGCATATTGGTGACAACCCAGCCCATGCCTCTGGGCAAGAGGGCGCATATAGATGTTGAAAAGCATCGGGGACAGGACTGCCCCTTGAGGCACTCCACATTCCAGTGGGTGCCTTTGGGATAGAGCTGACCCCCCAGTGCCACTCTCTGTCCCCGGTCTTGGAGAAAGGAGACAAGCCACTGCAAGGCCAGTCCCTGGACTCCGGTGTCGCTGAGGTGGTCGGTCAGCAGCTGATGGTCGACCGTGTCGAACATGGCTGACACATCTAACAACAGCAGCACTGCCGCCTCGCCCCGATCCAGGTGCCTCTGGAGGTCATCTGTGAGGGCGGCCAGTGCTGTCTCCGCCCTGTGGCCCGGGCGGAAGCTGGACTGGAAGGGATCTAAAACGGAAGCGTCATCCAGGAAGCCCCGTAGCTGCATCGCCACTGCCCTCTCTATTATCTTGCCCAAATAGGGCAAGTTGGAAACCGGTCGATAGTTGGCCAATTCGGCCGGATCCAAGGATGGCTTTTTTGACATGTAGATTTTTGCTGACTGCAGAGGTCACCAGATCGGTGTGGTGGGGCTGCTGGATAGTTTGGCCGGAGGCCAGGCCGTGCTGCTTCCCGTGCAGCCTGGCAGGCGAGGCGCGTCGTGCAGCTGGTTTGGAGGTGGGGGTGGTCACCCGCTCTTTTGGCTCTTGCAGGGCCAGTCGGACGCTGTCTCTCAGGCAGCCCACCGCCGAGCATGAGAAGCTTCTCTGTCGGACCTGGTGCCGGGAGGTAGGACTATCGCGGCCGGGCTGTGCAGGGGGCCCACCCTGTTCTGGGGACGGGGCCTGCAATGGGCTGGGCGGTGGTGGCGGTGCAGACTCGGGATGGCGCCCCGGGACATGATAATGTCATTCCTGACCACGTTACCAGCAGTGATGTCATCTTAGGATTCAGTTGGAACTCTATGGATTCGGGTCAATCCTAGAGCATCCCACGATGTGGTGACATCGTTTCTGGCTATGTGGCCAGGAGCAATGTCCTGATTCCATCCCGGGGTCCATCCCGGCCCCCGCATTTCCCCCCGCCACTCTCCCGCCCCACCAGCTCCGTGGCAACCCTGGTTCTCCAAGCCAGGCGGCACTCCCTTTGCATCCCCGCCCAGCCCGAAGTCTCCCCAGCTGCTGCCCGGGTGCTGGTTCTGCCCTGACAGGCCTTGGCCTGTGCAGGGCTTCCCCCCCCCGCCCCTTTGTTCCTCCTCCTCACTGCCCACGGGCTGCTCAGCCTCTCCCCACCCCCCTTTCCGTTTGCAGGCTCCCTGGGCAGGACCGGGCAGGAAATGCCCCCCTTCCCTCCCCCCTCCCTTAGTTGCAGTTGCCAGGGATTGGGGGCCTCTTCAAAGGCTCCGCCGCCCTCCTCCCTGAGTGAAACCCCCCCCCCGCTGATGAGCCTCCCCCCCCAGGCCACGCCCCAGCTGACCCACCGAGGCCTGCAGGCGCTCTAGTCTTGCTTGAACTGGGCCCTGCTTCAGTTCCCAGCAGCATCTCCAGCTTAAAAGGACCACGGGCAGTCGGTGATGCGGAAGACCTCTGTCTGAGGCCCGGGAGAGCCACTGCCAGGCTGAGTAGGCATAAGAGCATAACAACCTCCTAGGAAGAGCCCCAGCTGGGTCAGACCAGGGAGGGTCCACTTAGTCCAGCCTCCCGTCTCACACAGGGGCCGATCAGTTCCTCCAGAGGGCCAACAACAGGGCAGAGAGGCCGAGGCCTTCCCCTGATAAGAACCTCAGAAGAGCCCTGTTGGGTCAGACCAGGGAGGGTCCATCTGGTCCAGCCTCCCAGGGGCCAACCAGTTCCTCTGGAGGGCCAGGAACAGGGCAGAGAGGCCGAGGCCTTCCCCTGAGAAGGACACCAGAAGAGCCCTGCTGGGTCAGACCAGGGCGGGTCCCTCTAGTCCAGCCTCCCAGGGGCCAACCAGTTCCTCTGGAGGGCCAGGAACAGGGCAGAGAGGCCGAGGCCTTCCCCTGAGAAGAACGTCAGAAGAGCCCTGCTGGGTCAGACCAGTGAGGGTCCCTCTAGTCCAGCATCCCATCTCACACAGGGGCCGATCCGTTCCTCTGGAGGGCCATCAACAGGGCAGAGAGGCCCTCATAAGAACCTCAGAAGAGCCCTGCTGGATCAGACCACTGAGGGTCCATCTAGTCCAGCCTCCCATCTTACACAGGGGCCAGCCAGTTGCTCTGGAGGGCCAGGAGCAGGGCAGAGAGGCCGAGGCCTTCCCCTGAGAGGAACCTCAGAGGAGCCCTGCCGGGTCAGACCACTGAGGGTCCATCTACTCCAGCCTCCCGTCTCACACAGGGGCCAGCCAGTTCCTCTGGAGGGCCAGGAGCAGGGCAGAGAGTCCGAGGCCTTCCCCTGAGAAGGACACCAGAAGAGCCCTGCTGGGCCAGACCAGTGAGGGTCCCTCTAGTCCAGCCTCCCGTCTCACACAGGGGCCAGCCAGTTCCTCTGGAGGGCCAGCAACAGGGCAGAGAGGCCGAGGCCTTCGCCTGATGTGGCCTCCGGGCTCTGGGATTCAGAGGTCGACTGCCTCTGAGTGTGGAGGTTCCCCTAAGTCAGCATGACTTGTACAGTGTTCCCTCTAAGATGAGTGAGTGTGAGCTAGCTCACAGATTTTTAGCCTCCAGCTCACAGGTTTTTGCCTTCGCTGGGGAAGGATGGCTCCAGAGCAAACTAATCTACGCAGTAGCTAAATCGCTTACTCACAACTTTAATGCCAATAACTCACAAAGTAGAATTTTTGCTCAGGAGACTCCACAGCTTAGAGGGAGCATTGGACTAGTAGCCACTGACGGACCTCTCCTTCCTGAGGGGAGGGAGGACAGAAAGTCCAAATAAATTCCAAAGCTCCCTGTGCCCATCACAACACCCTCTGGCAGTGAACCACCCTAGAAAGGAATGTGGGGCGAAGTCTGAGCACAGTTCTTGCAGGCAGCCCCCTTGTTTGGGGAGAGGTGGGCTGGCCTGTTCCTCCCCACCCGAGCGCCGTCTCCTGCCACAGGGACTCCTGGAGCCCTCGGAGAAGTGCTGGTGGGGAGGGTCGCGGCTGCCTGTTGGCCCTTCCGTGAGGTTCTTGTTCCCCACCCCATGGCTTGGGTCCCGAAGTGTCTGTTTCTAAAAGGGGTGGCCGGCCGGCCGGCTGGCTCTTGCTGTCTCACTCTTGGGTCAGTGGTGCCCCCCCGCCCCCCCGAGGCTGCTGAGGCCTCCGAAATCTTGGGCTGCTGAGCAGAGACTCTAGGTTTGCCCCTCCTAAGAATGTATCACTATAAAAACACTCCGTGGCTAAATTATGAACAAAACTAAGTAATTATACTTGTATAAGTCAAGTCAATTCAAATTCTTATCAAATTTAACAGACACCCTTCTGTGTTCTTAAAGAGCTAGGATCAAAATGTACTTAATACGAAGGAAAAACTCTGAATAAAGTCCATCAATCCTTTGTATGAAGAGCTTCAGGAGAACAAAAGCTCCTCCACGTCTGCAGGAGCAGCAGCTATGCACGGCTGGCTTCAGTGCCGCGTCTGCTTTCTGCTTCTTCAGCTAGCCGGTACTCTTCAGCTGTGAAGCTAAAAATAGACTTCTATATCATATCCACAATTTATAACATCTGTACTATATCCCCAGTTGCCAAAACATACATACTTACTGAACTTGAATTGTTTGAGTTAACTTATACAAATATAATTACTTAGTTTTGTTTGTAATTTAGCCACGGAGTGTTTTTATAGTGAAACAATCTCCTCCCGTGAACTTTCTTTTTGATATATAACCTCCTAGGAATGTGACAGGGGGGAGCCCCGTTCATTTGTCCTTTGGGATGCTTTTCCCCAGCGATCCCCCTCGCCGTGAGCCAGGGAGGTATAAGAACATAAAAACATAAGAGAAGCCAATGTTGGATCAGGCCAGTGGCCCATCCAGTCCAACACTCCTGTGTCACACAGTGGCCAGAAATACCAGGGGCCATCAGGAGGTCCAGCAGTGGGGCCAGGACACTAGGAGCCCTCCCACTGTTGACCCCCCCCCAAGTACCAAGATGACAGAGCATCCCTTGCCCCAGAGCCCCTGTCTATACCTTGTGGCTAATAGCCACTGATGGACCTCTGCTCCATATGCTTATCTCATTCCCTTTTGAAGCCGTCCGTGCTTGTAGCCGCCACCCCCTCCTGTGGCAGCGAATTCCATGTGTTCATCACTCTTTGGGTGAAGAAGGACTGCCATGTATCTGTTCTAACTGGAAGGGCGTGGCCTGTGTTTTGAGTGCCCGTCCGGAAGAACAGGCAGCCATGGGAGGCGTGCTTCCTCTCCTTGCGGGGACATGTCTGCCTCCGGACAGCCAGGGCTGCCTCATCAGCCGGGCGGGGGGTCCTTGTGTGTGTCTGTCCCTCTCACAGGCGTTCCAGAGAGTGCGGGCCTCTCTGCAGGAAGCCACGTCCCCCCGGTGGGAGGAATCCTTCGCCGACATGAAGCTGATCTCTGACGCCCTGGTGCAGAACAAGGGCCCCGTGGCCACCCACCCGCTGGGCTTCTGAAGCCGGAGGCCGCCATTGGTGCTCCGAGAGAGAAACCGGCCTCACGCGTCTTATTAAACGGGACTGGAAATGAGCGGCCCCAGCGTCTGTGCTGTGCGGATAAGGAAAGGACCCGCTCCTTCTGAGCCCTTGGGCAGGCCTGGGAGCCTCGGGGGGGGGGTGAGACCCCGTGAGCGGGGGGGGGGGGGGGGGGGGGCTGGCTGGCC